CGCTGAAGAAGTACTATGTGCTATGGAATGATAATATGTGGTTCTTCATGGAGAAGGCTTGTCTTTTATATGGAGAGAAAGATGTTTCCTTGAAATGAGCAGCTTGATCGGCAAGAATTATTTCATAGTATGTAGGAAATTCATTTCTCGAGAATACTTAAGCACTTGCCTGTTTCTGCGCAAGGTCCGACCACGGTTTCGCACATTGTGTCGCCGACGTCAAGGTGGAATCTCGGTGAAGACCGTGGCAACTTGTCAAGCACACCGAAAACAATGCACTGCGTCTCGTTAGTCGCCGACAAGCACGTCGAGAATGTGCAATGCCAAAAAAATGCATGAAAACTACATTGATTGTAGAGCGATCTACGTGCTGTGGAGATAAAAAAAAAAAAAAAACGAACATGTCACTTCAACTTCCTAGCTGTGTATCCTTCCAGTTCGCAAGTCTCATTGACACGAACTCCGATCCAATTACTTTTTGCAGCCGTATACTCTCAACGTCTCGGGCTTCACGTGTGCTGTTTTCACCTGCCTTCGTGTCTTCACCTTAGACACTACGATCGCACTCCCTTTTCGAGTCTTGAGTTCGTCGTCGCTCTGGCTTGTAAAAACAAGCTTACGGACATTGCGAGCCTCACGGATCACTAATTCTTCCAAATCGCCATCACTGTGCGCGTCACCACTGGTCCGAGCAGCTCCACGGCAGCACAGCCACTTGAGACTCGTCTGCAGGCTCTCGAAACCGACCAGCACACTGCGCAGACCGTGGCTCGCTGCGAGATTCCGAAGAATTGTTAGAATCTCGAGCTTGATTGGCAACTGCTTCGACTGCATCTGCAATTGCTCTATCAAGAGCGGCAGCAACGTGTCCTTCACGCTGCGCGAGGCTTCAAATCGAGGCACAAGGCTCGGGCGCTCACTCCACTGTCGCACAACACGAATCGCCTCCAACAGTACCAGCCTGACAGTCTCATTCTCAGTGCTTGTGGCTTTGCTGACGTGGTGGTAGTGGTCGATAATTGAGCACACCAGAATCAGCAGATTTTGGCCGCATACTAGTGCAACTTGTAACTCGATTTCGAATGTCTTGACTGGTAGAGCAAAAATAAACGTAAGCGAGGCGAGTAATGCATTCATCACCTCAGCGTGAAGGAGCCATTTCTCGATTACTGCAGCAAACCACCACGTTAGTTCATTTTTCGGTGAAAACAGTGTTTCCATCGTTTTCGTAGGGTGTTGCCGAAGTAAGAGCAACACCATTTCCAGCCATGAGCGGATCGAATCTTCTTGAAGATTAAACATTGAAAAACTATCAAGCATGCATTTCGAGATTTTCACCATCCATATCTCACCTTGCATCGCATTTTCACCGGTAAATAACACTAGAGCCATTGAACGAGGAGAGGAATAGAGTGCGACCAACACGCGTAGAGCAAGCACCACAAGTGTGTGCGCTCGTCTTCGTGGCGTCTCAATGTGCAGGAACCGATCCATGACACCAGTCAGATCATCCAAGTATTGTTGTGGACGAAGGTTGGTGATGTGAACCTCGTTGCTGCGAAACAAATACTCACTTGCACGCAGTGAGGCCTCCTGTACTCGAATAGACTGCGGGTGGGCTGATCGCATGACAAATAACGCGTTCCACATCTCGAGCTGACCGGCTTGACACTGGAAACGAAGCGAAGCTTGACACGCGAGCGAGATTACTCGACCTAGGGCCCATTGCACTTCTTCTTCACGCAGATGCATCCTCACTAGCTCACTCAATAATATCACGCGTGTTTTAGTTGCCAACGTCGAGTCTACTATAAGTTTCGCCTGAGGATGATCTGCCAACACGCTGAATATTCGAGTCAAATTAGTGTACACGCTCTGAGTACTAAGCGGACTTGCTTCTATTTCAACGAAGACATCATTACTCTCCTGCGTAGCTGCTACCAAACCGGCAGAGCTCATGAGCTTCGCGTGCTGCATCATCTTGGTAGAACGAAAGGATCACTTTTACTAGCTTCCCTAGAATAGCTTGAAACGGACCTGGTGCTAGGATAAATCACTTGTCAACGTCGTCCGAGAGATGACAACCTCAGTGCACGGAGCTCGTAATCTGAGTGCTGGGCTGTACGACCGAATTGAGCTCCTTCCTGGAAAACTTGACTTCGCTTTGCTCTCGTCAAAGCCTACTGAAAATACCACACAACATGGTCATTGCGAACAAGAGGACCTTGTCTGTATGGACGGCGATCTGAACTACGCTCGGTTCTTCGCAGACTTTGGTCCATTGAACTTGTCGAGAACAGTGCGTTTCTGTCGCGAACTGGAGTCTCGCTTGGGTTCCAATAATGGTAAACGAGTGGTACTGTATTGCAACGATCACTCGCACAAGAGAGCGAATGCGATGACACTACTTGCAATTTTCTTGGTCGTGGCTGCAGGCTTCACGCCTGAGTTGGCTGTAACTCGAGTGCTAAACGATGGTAAACTACCTCCACCCTTCGGTTTCCGAGATGCGTCATACGGAATATGTACATTTTTCATCACTTTATTAGACTGTGCTCGAGCCGTACACAAGGCGATAACGACGTCACTTTGGAGCTACAAGACATTTTCTATCGACGAATACGACCATCTCGATAGCTTAGAGAACGGCGACATCAACTGGATTGTACCTGGCAAACTACTTGCTTTTAGTGGTCCACAACGCGAACGTATCGTTCTCGATCCAGAATCTGGAGCAACTACTTTGCTAGCTAAGGACTATGCCGCTCTGTTCCGTGACATTGGCGTCACTTGTGTGATTCGCTTCAACGAGGCCACCACATACGACCGCAAGGCTTTTATCCACGCAGGACTACGACACATCGACATGCCGTTCCCGGACGGCAGCAACCCCAGCGACGAAATCCTCTACAAGTTTATCCGAGTACGAAATTTACAAAATTCCTAACTATTCATCACTGTAACTAATATGTTTTTTTGTGTTTTTCCTTACAGGTGTGCGAACGCGAGACTGGGGCTGTTGCCGTCCACTGCAGAGCTGGTCTAGGACGCACAGGTACAGCCATCGCCGCTTTTCTTATGAAGAACTACCGTTTCTCCGCCACAGAAGCGATCGCGTGGTGTCGGGTGTGTCGACCAGGCTGCATCGTCGGTCCTCAGCAACATTTCCTTGCTGTCAAACAGCCCGAACTCCATTCTCTTCCTTCCATCTTCGAAATGCCACAACCTGTTGCCAAAACGCAACCAGTTTATCAACCAAGGAAAAAGCTGCACAAAAAGTTGGAACGTTTGCCACGCCAAAGGAAAACGCATATCAGTTCAAGGTGAAAAAACAATTTATACTCATTGCCTTCTCTCTACGTGGACCCCGTTTTCATAAAATTGTTTTTTGGTCCCTTTCTGTCGGAATCGATCCCGCGGTTAATCTCCCTCATTCCCTCGCGGTCCAAAGCACTCGCAATCAGTACTTCCTCATACAAGAAGCCGGCGTCATGCTTGGAGGTCTTGTCCACGTAGCACACATATTTAAATCTTGTTCGTGGCCCGCTACACCGCTGCGTCGTCATGCTCCCTAGTCCTCCCCACGGACTTGTACGCCTCACCGTACGCCGTTTATACTTTTTTTTTCTTGTCCCGTCACTTTATTTTTTCTTGAGTTTTTTTTCTTGATATCCACCGCATGCACATCGACGCGAGCAGTGAGCAGCGCTCACTTCGTTCCCGTTACCGGTGGGGTGACCTGCAGTCGGCTCCCCACCTCAAGCCCGTATTTTGGGCCCGAGTATAGGTATATAGCTCGCAACTGAATACGTCACACCCCGCACGGCTCCGTACGTAGAAGACGACGCGTGTTTCACTTGGGAACTCGCGTAGTCTGCCGCACCGGTAATGCCGCCGTACACTGCACCAGTGGTAGACGACACCTTGTGCGCCGTGTAGTTGGTGGCTCGCACGGCCGTGTTGCCAGTCTTGTGGGCGACGTTAGACACTGCGTTAACGGCCTTGTTCTTGGTCTTGACAGCGAATTGCTGGCCCTCGTAGAGCTTCGTGAAGGCCACGGAGATCGTTGCATCCACCTTGTTGTCCACGGAGTCGAGAACAGGCACGACTAGCGATTGATCCACGTCGAATAAAGTCTTGCCCGTTACTGTGGCCAACACCGTGTTGACAGTGGCTTCACCCAGACGAGCAAACGGCTTAACCACGCTGAAACTCGTCGTGTAGTCGTACACGTGCTTGGTCGTCTCGTAGTAGTACGACGCGCGCATGAACCACGGCCGGTGTGTTTCTGCCGGCGCCAGCGACTTCTCCTCGTGTTTGGAAGACGTCCAGTCGGCGCTGAAGATCAGATGCATCGTCTTGGGCGACGAAACGGAGCCAAACGTGAACGTTAGCTGCCTGTTCTGGATGCCCTTCATGAACTCGCGCAGAGTCCGCTTCGTAGACACCAGGGGCTTCGTCTGATCTTGCTGGAGCACTTCAATCGTAACTTCCTCAGACTCTGCCGTGCGCTGCACGTTGCTATGGTAATCACAAATGATTGCGTAGCAGTTACGAACACAAAGCGGTTAGATAACTGCAAAATAACATATCAGGGGGCAATGTGGCATGACGTACTAGTGCAGAGTTTCGTCGATCTCATCGTTGACCGACACGAACTGCGTGTGGCGCTCGTTGTCGCCCACAGCCAGTCGTATGCTGAGCTTTCCTCCCGGATCGCCACCTTCGGCAGCCTCGAGTCGATGGACTGCAAGCAAAAACACCAAGGAAAGATGTCAGTCAGGCTCTGTATACGGCGTCCAAGTGAGAGAAAGATGCCAACGCACCCGTGACGGCCAGTGTCCCGGACACCGCCATCCTGGCCTGATCCCCGTCGAGACTTCGCGCTTTGCTGGCCAAATCGGAAATGAAGAGCTCGTTGGCCTTCACAGTGGAGGGGGAACTTTCCGGGTTGCCCTCCCGCCCTCTCTCATGAACCAATGGGTGCCTTTCTAGTTGCTTTCGCAGCATCTTTCCCCCGCGAAACTTTGACTTGATGTTTGTATGCTGCGACAGATGGATACTTTTCGACCTTGGCCATGCTGGGCAGCATTGCTGCTGAGACTGCCAACCACGTTGCAGCATCCATTGCCACCTTGCAGAGCAAGTAAAGGGATTCGTAGTTACCTGGTAGGGCCACGAGAAGCTCAGACAACGACGCTGTCTCACTAACGGCTGCGAAAAATGTTGGTGGACTTGGAATTTGTATGTCAAGTTTGTCACGGCCAGTGAACACTATCCGAGCAGACGGCGAGAGATATAACGCCTGCGCTTGCACTCCGTCCCGGCGCTGCGCAAGTGACAGGAAAGTTCGACATGCAACTCTGACGTAGTGCGTGTCATTTTGCCAGTTGTTCGCTGGGGCATACAAAAATCAAGTCATTCGCCGAATAAGCTCCGGGGCGGTTGAAGCAAAAGATCGCGCTTGTACGTCAGCAGCAACTTCCGGGCTCCATGCAGCGGCAGAGTCCGCAATATATGGCACTTGCCACTTTGCCGAGATAATGCAGACGTGACGGCGCAGAGAGCCTCTCAATATTTGCGCGAGCTGTCTACTACTGCCTCGCTCGTTCCCTTTTCCGCCTCCAACACTGGATGAACTTCCGGACATCTGCGTGGCAGCGTCTGACCGAAGGCAATTGCGCGGGCCCGGCGCTGGGCGGTTGAGTGGCAGCGGCGACGGCGTGGAGGCGGGGCTGTGGAGAGCAATCGTTGCTATCGTTGCTGGCCTGCGGTCTCTTGCTCCACGAGCTGACCGAGCTGCGCAGCTGCCGAGCTGCATAGGAATCAGGAACGGTGAGCACCAGCCAAGTGGGACGGCCGCAGTGAGTCACTTGCATTCGTTGAAGCGTTTCCCGAGTTGAGGAATCTCGCCGGAAATGTAGGACGTTTTTCTCTAGGCAAAAGTTTCACTCGTCGGGGCGGACTTCAACGCAAAGGGCGGACCGCTCCGCTTCTCCGTCACAGCAGCGTGCCATGCTTGCCAAGCTGGGCTGGCAACGAAATTTTGCATTGCAACTTGCTTGATTTCGCCTCCTGAGCCGTTTCCTCTTCCTCCTTCGCGCCGCCGCCTGCTTCATCCTTAGTGCCACCTCTCCCATCCTCGCACCCGGAGCCAAGTTGGGTGAGCCAACTCGCGCCATCTCGAGGGCTGACAGTGGCGACACAGCAATGCTATCAGCAGCGGAGCGAGAGCTACATTGTACATGTAGTCATCAGGGCCGAATTCGAATGCAGCAACAGCGTCGGACCCGCGTCAGTGACGCCGCCATGCCGGTCGACCTTTGTTCATAGTCTTTATGTACCGGTACATAGCGTTCGTGGAGTTGGCCTGGTGATTGGTGGTCGTGGCCACTTCAGATTGTCAAAGGGCCGGACCGGCGGCAGGCGGAAACTGCTCGAGGGCGACCAGCTGCGCCTGTCGGTGCTTGTACGAGTCTCCTGCTCTGCACCGGAGTCTGCTACGCAGTGCTAGCCGACTGCTCCAGCGAGTCATCTTGGTTGCCATGCTCGAACACTTTTCCGCACCAAAAATGACAAAGGCTGCTAGTTGAAGACGAAAGGTCGCGTGTGGCTCTATTTGGTGTGCGCCACACTTTGTGCACGCTTTACGATGACGAACCTGTGTGGTGGAAATGCTGCTGTACTGTACGCAGCGGGCGCTCCATTGGAGCCCGTCGTGCATAGGAGACCGACGTCGGCTGCATACTGTTGCTTCCAGCGCCATTAAGGACGTCGCAGTCGTGTAAATGGCACCCGCGCTCGGCAATTGCCCTTTTCCGGTGACTGCAGGAGCGTTCTGTCTGTCACCTTAAGCGTCGAAACTTCAGACGGCCATGCGCAGCGTCGTTGGATCCGCGTCGTGCACGGACACTGAGCTCACGATGAATAGCATCCCGGTGCTTCTGCCGTCGCGATGCTGGCCGGCCGCCCAACCATTTTGCCATCTCTATCGTGGACAGACGCGCCCTGCACTTGCACAATGTTGCAGTTTATAAACCGGGCACAGCGTCTCCAGTTCGAATGATGCGCGCGGTGCATCACTTTTCCGGTCTGTACGACCGTCCAGCGTTACTCAGATTCGAGTTGAAGGGGGCTAAAATTTCTCTGCGTTTGACTATGGCATTCTTCTCTGCCTCCACAGCAGCAGCCACCACCTCATTTCCCAATTTCGCACACCCACAACTGATCACTTCATCATGCCGACGTCTGGAACGCTGACAATCAAGGTGCACAACATCGAGGCCACCTTCGGCGAGGAAGAGTTTGTCGGCAAGAAGCTGGCCGTGCGCTTCGCCGTGGGCAAGGCCGAGTACACGACCAAGTTCAAGAAGCACGACGTGCGCATCGACGAGCACGCCACGCTTCGCGTGCACGAGGCCGCGGCCGACGCCAAGCTGACCATCGAGCTGCTGCAGGAGAAGGTTAAGAAGCCCGTTGTGAGCACGCAGAAGACGCTGGCCGAGTTCCAGAACAACCCGGTGAACCGCAAGATGACGTTCACGTTCGGGGCCAAGGGCGCACCTAGCACGGCGCTGCTGTCGTACAGCGCGGACTGGCAGTCGAGCGAGACGACGCTGGCCACGTTCCAGACCCACCGGCCGTGGTTCATGCGTGCGTTGTACTACTACGACACCACTAAGAACGTCTACAACTACACCACGAGCTTCCGTGTGGTGGCTCCCTTCGCCCGCTTCGGCGAGAACACGGCCAACACGGTACTCACCAAGGTGAGTGGCAAGACGCTGTTCGACATCGACTCGGCCTGGGTCGGCCCGGGTCTGAATGCTCTGGACGACAAGGTGGACGCCACTATCTCTTCTGTGGCCGAGACGCTGTACAGCGGTCAGCAGTACGCGCTGAAGAAGAAGGATGCCGCCGTGGGTGTGGCCTCGAATGTCGTCAAGAAGACGGGCGAGACGGTCTCGGGCGCTGTGGGTGCCACGGTGAACACGGCCACCAACGTCAAGGACTACACGACGGGGAAGGTGGTCTCGGCCACCTCGAGTGTCTACGGCACAGTGGCCAGCGTGGCCGACTACACCAAGACGCAGGTGGTGCACGCGTCGTCGTCCACATACGGCACAGTAAAGGGCGTGACCTTCACGGCGCTCAGCTACGTGCCCGTCATTGGGCCCAAGATCGCGGTTTAAAGCGAACAGCTACGTATCGATATTTGTTAATAAGAGCTCCTAGGAAGCTCTGCCAGAACTCAAAAACTCCCGACAGATAGGGAAGTAGCGTATAACAATCAGCATAACTCGTTCATTGGCATATTCAACATCAATCGCGTCGTTTTGAAGCGGTATTTCTTAAGAAGTTGAGGCGAAGTGCGCCGATGTGGAATCTAAGGAAGCTTGCGTTCCCTCTCGTACTCGGTGTAGTTGCCGTCGAAGAACTCGACGCGGCCGTCGCCCTCGAACGCGATAATGTGCGAGCAGATGCGGTCCAGGAACCATCGGTCGTGGGAGATGACCATCGACACGCCGTCAAAGTCCGTGAGCGCAGCTTCCAGCGAGCGCAGCGTGTCGACGTCCAGATCGTTCGTCGGTTCATCGAGCATCACAACGTTGTGGCCGCCCAGGAGCATCTTGGCCAGATGCACGCGGTTGCGCTCGCCACCACTGAGACTACCGACCTTCTTCTCCTGCATGCCGCCACGCAGATTGAAGCTGGCAATGTACGCGCGTGTGTTAATCCGGTCTCCGCCGATCTCCACGAACTCGTTATCGCCCGAAATCTCCTCGTACACGGAGCGTCTGCCGCTCAATTCGTCGCGACTCTGACTCACGAAGCCCAGACTCACAGTTTTACCGAGTTCGACGCTGCCCTCATCGGGTTTCTCGATGCCTGCAATGATGTTGAACAGTGTACTCTTACCCATACCATTGCCGCCTACAATCCCCACAATAGCGTGAGGAGGGATCTCGAACGAGAGCTTATCGAACAGCACCCGACCGTCGTCGAGCTGTTTGCGCAGGTTATTAACTCTGATGACCTTGTTGCCCAGACGCACACCAGACGGCACGACGATCTGTCCCTCCTCGACTCTAGACGAGGCCTTGAAGCCGCTGGACTCCATCTCTTGGAGCTTCCGGAGACGCGCCTTGTTGGCCTTCTTACTGCCCTGATGGTCCCGCGACCACGCGATCTCGGAGGCGATCTGCTTGGCGCGGATGGCGTCGCTCTTTCGCTGCATGTTGAAGCGGTTGCGACGCTGGGTCAGCCACTCCGTGTAGTTGCCTTCGTACGCGTACGTCTCGCCACGGTCGAGTTCCAGCACCCAGCCAGCTACGTTGTCCAGGAAATACCGGTCGTGCGTGATGGACAGCACTGTACCGCGGTATTTCTGCAAGAAATCCTCCAGCCAATGCACCGACTCGGCGTCCAAGTGGTTTGTGGGCTCGTCAAGCAGCAGCATGTCTGGCTTCTCCAGCAGCAGGCGGCACAGCGCCACGCGACGTCTCTCACCTCCTGAGAGGACCTCCACGTCCGCATCCGCAGCAGGGACTCTCAGTGCAGCCATAGCTTTCTCCACCTCGTGACTCAGATCCCAGCAGCCCAACGTCTCGATCTGATCCTGCAGCTTGGCCTGCTCCTCCAGCAGAGCGTCAAAATCTGCGTCTGGCTCGCCCATAGCCATGGAAACCTTGTCAAATTTGGCCAGAAGCTCCTGGCTTTCCTTCAGTCCGTCCATAATGTTCTCGTACACGTTCTTGCTGGGATCCAGCTGCGGCTCTTGTGGTAGATATCCGACTTTCAGCCCGTCCTTGACCCAACGCTCACCGTCGAAGTCCTTGCGCACGCCGGCGATGATCTTGAGGAGCGTGGATTTACCGGTACCGTTAGCACCTAAAACACCGATCTTGGCGCCACGTAGGAAGCCCAGACTCACGCGCTCGAAGAGCTTCTTGCCGCCTGGAATGGTCATGCCCACGTCGCGCAGATGACACACAAAGTCTCCGGGCACGCCGCCACCGGCATTTGACGCAGCCGCGAATCCGCGTGCGGCATTATAAGGGTGTTGCGCTGCTGCCAGCCAATTTTGGCCCAGCGGGGAGCTGCGTAGGCTGCATGGCGCCACGGAGTGCAAGGCGACACGGCGAGACAGCATTGCGGCCGAGAAGTGATGGCTATGCTGAGCACTTTGGAGCACCATTTGGGCAACTTAAGTAATATCTACCGGTATTTCGAGGTTTTACATTTCGGGAGATGTGATGTTGTCTGGCACCAATGATAGCGTGATGGCGAAGATGACAAGATGATGAAATGCCAAAATGACAGTCATCGGCAGCCTATATTATTAATTTGACTGAGTGTTGTTTGTCGTGGTGTCAAGGTTAGGCACAAAGCAGCAGGCAGAAGTTTGACCTGGCCTGCATCGCATCGACGTGGTGTGGTTGCATTTCGTCTCAATACCGGTACTACCGACCATATCTCTCTTCCTATTGGCTGAGCACTTCACGTGATCCTAGATGTCCACCACACACATCCCGCTTCAACACACTTGGCTTAGTCAGAGCTATTTGTCATTCCAGCATTGTCCTCACCACGACCATGCTCTTCTCGCGCGCTTCTCGCTGCCTGCCGCGCACGTCGGCGCTCACCACCAGCCTTCGAACCTTCGCATCCAGCCCCAATCGCATTAACTTGGCGGTCGTGGGCACCGGCCGCATGGGACGCATCCGTTTGACCGGAATGCAGAATGACCCGCGCGTTTCCATCGCTGCGATCATCGATTCCAATGCCAGCGCCGAACAACTACAAGAATTGAGTAGCCAATACGGAGCCGAGTGTTTTGCGTCTCTCGCGGAGGCTGGGGGTGCTCTGCAGCGGCAGAACGAGGCCGTGGACGGCGTCTGGATCTCCACACCAACCCACACGCACTTGGAGCTTGTAAACGATTGTGCTGCTGGAGTTTTGGGCAAACATATCAAAGCTATTGGCATTGAGAAGCCTGTGGCCGCGTTGGTGAACGAGATCGACACAGCTTATCAAGTATGTCACAAGAACGACGTGAAGCTCTTCTGTTCCTTCCAAAGGAGATTCGACCCCAGCTACGAAGCGCTGCGCGTCCAGTGCGTGGACAAGCAGAGCATCGGCAAGCTGCAGTCGATCCACACGGTATTCCGTGACCATCCGTGTCCGCCTGTGGAGTTCCTCAAGACTGGAGGAGACCCGTTCCACGACCTCGCTGTACACGACATCGACTTCGTGTGCGACCTGGTGGGCGAGTACCCCACCAAGGTATACGCACATGGGACGAGCTTGTCTGCAGAGCTGAGAGAACTCAATGTCATGGATAAGGCCAGTGTGTGGCTTGAGTTCCCCACTACAGGCGTGGTTTGCACCATGGACCTGAGTCGCAGTGCGGAGTATGGCTACGACCAGCGCATTGAAGTGGCTGGTGAACACGGCATGCTACAAGTACAAAACCCGAGCAAGACCGCCATGGTGCAGTCCACGAAGGCTGGAATCACCGCTGACACGCTGCTACATTCATTCCCGGAGCGATTCCGCGAGGCCTATCAACTCGAGCTCGACAGCTTCATCGATGTCGTGCAGGGCAACGCCAACCCTCGTGTGCACTGGGGAGCTTCGCGCATGAACACTATCATCGCCGAGGCTGCTCGCATTGCAGCAGTCGAGAAGAAGGTCGTCACCATCAAGTACACCGGCACTAAGCAAACAGCTCCTAGATCCGACCCAGTTTTAGAATGTGAGTACGAGTTCTAAATTGTAGACGCATCAAAACGTTTTGATCTTGGAACTATTAACTGACTCTGTTTTCCATACCTTTGCGCAACCATTTCAAAGTCAACTGAAATACAGTTTAAACCAAGTTGCGGTACAGATTCACGATGCTTGCTATTTCCTAATCGACCTCCTCCAGAATCTTAGACTTGATCAAAAATGGCAACCCAACCGCAGATCCGTCGAGCTCTGCGCGCTGACGTTCATGAGATCGCGGCTATGATCCAAGAGCTCGCGGATTTTGAGAAGGAGTCGGACTCTAACAAGGCCACAGCGGAGAAGCTACTGGAGACCGTCAACTTCGCCGACGACGCTCCCCCCGAGCACATTCCAGGCTTCCCGTTGACGAGTGCTCCGAGTCGCAAAGTGGCTCACTGCTTCGTGCTGACGATCGGCGAGCAAGTCGCAGGTATGGCGTTGTTTTTCTACAACTACAGCACGTGGCTCGCATCTCCAGGCGTGTACCTTGAAGATCTGTACGTGCGACCAGAATTCCGTCGTCGTGGACTGGCGACGCTCTTGTTCGGTGCATTGGCAGAGGAAACCCAACGTATCAGTGAAGGAAAGGGGCGGTTGGAATGGTGGTGTCTGCGCTGGAACGAAGGCGCGCTCAAGTTTTATGAGCGTATTGGTGGCGCGCGCATGGAGGAGTGGGTCAGTATCCGCGTGGCTGGCGGAGACAAGCTGGAACACTTGAAAAAACTCGCCGACGAGGTTCGAGCCAACAGCAAGTAAAGATCCGAAATACAAAAGCAACTTGTTACAAGCTGTAGATGTACTAACCCGCTGTTAGTTAGAGCGTCGCAAGCGTGTAGTGTTCTCTGCGAACTCCTCCTCTTGTACTCGAAGGAAAAAGACAAACACGAAGAAGAGCACCACGTAGAATACACACTGCAGCGACGCCCAGTTCACTCTGCACCACAGCTGCCATTGCCGCAGTAGTCGTCGGAGCTCTGCCGATCGAATGCTCGCACACCTCCTCCCACTAGCTGCTCGGATTCGATAACACTGTACACCACGTATCCTGTACCATTTCAGCATTTTAGATTGAATCCTTGATCCAAAGTTGTTTTCAGCCTCACCTGCACAATTTCAGCCTTTCTCGCCATCGAGAACCTGCTTGGACTCGACGATCTTGCACTTCTTCTTCATGAATCAAAGGCGCTTCGCTGTTATCCGATTCGACAGTGCTTGACACCGATATTTGCACTTCTGGCTCAGAGTCTCGCGTTCTAGTTGCCAATTTTCTCTCAGCGGCATCAACGAAGCTTGTTGCAGCTTGTTTTTCGGTTGTAGAACATCGTGGGGAGGAAGAAGACAAGGCGGACAGCGCATCTTCGAGTGCTCGGTTTGAGGTCACGGAAAATGGCCCCGAGAGCAACGGAGAGCGACACATTGGGCACGCATCCGCCTGACGCAGTGCATCGTCTAGACACGAGCGACAGAAGCTCTGACCGCAGCAGGAGACGAGCACGGGGCGCTCGAAGCGGCCCAGGCAGATTGGGCAGCTCCAGCCGTCACTGCTCGGCATTTTGGGGATTTTGTGCAGGACTATTTCTCATTTGAAGCACAAATATACGACAACTTCAACTTGCCTGTATATGCAAAATGCTTCAGTTTTTAAGGAGCAAAGCAGTAACTTCGGCTCTGTGATGAACTGTGCCCACCGCAGTGCATTACGCATACGTGCAGTCTACACGTATGCATAACGCTGATGACTAAAGAAACAGTTGACTTATGTGTCAATCTTTCTCAGGGATCATCCATTGGGAGCCGTTGGCAGAAGAGGTAAATGAAGCATTTCACTCACTAGTTAAGCTGCTGTTAACGAGCCGTAGGGACACTACTTCTGAAGTACATGCAGTTGACAAATGCTAAAGTGTGGTGCGTTCCTACCTATCTGTCAATGACAAATAGGTAGGAACATACCACACTTTAGCATTTCAAACAGAATTGCGAAGTACTTAGCAGCACTTGCAACGCAGACTAGCTTTACAGCAACCAACGAATAAGGCCAGCTCGTCCGTGTTCAGTTCGTTAAATCGTTGCAAACCAGTACGAATCATCAAGACGCGTTCATGAAAAACAGCTTCACGGTGAAGCGTATTTTTATGATGAAGTTCACCTCCTAGTGACCAGACTACTGAATTGTCCAAAATGGAAGTGCCACTGGAGACCTTGAGGCGGGGGCAGCGGGTACCGTTTCATTAAGGTGGTCGAGTCGATTGTGGTATGGCCACAACGCGAAAGCGACAGTTCTGTAAGCGCAGTTTGACGGCTGTATCAGACCTGATTTCAGCACAATGAGAGCTGGGTTATCCAGCTGATATCGCGCTTGTCCTCGCCCCCTTCCACCACAAGTTACGTGCTTACGATCAGACTTGGTTTGCTTGGGGTTTCGATGTCGCATTTACGAGCTTGAACTCGCTCACCCAGATGCGTTCGAGCAGCGGGAATTCGGTCTCCCCAGCACGAAGCTTTGACAGTGACGATAATAGTGTCGCCGAGATAGGGGCGACTTCTTCGACGTACACTTCCGCTTTACGAACGCACTCGCGGCGGTGCGGGTTTCCAGAGTGCCAGAAGACAGCCAAGCGTGGTGGACTCTGTATCTCGCACGGTGGAGGCAAAAAATGTGCGGTCAAGGGCTGCACTACCAGTGTTGTCAGTCGGGGATTCTGTGTCGCCCATGGCGGAGGGAAGCGATGCCAGGCTCAGGGTTGTACCAAAAGTGCTCAAACCGGAGGATTCTGCTGGATCCACGGCGGAGGGAAGAAGTGTGGGTACCAGGGCTGTAAGAAGCGAGCACAGAGCGGCGGTGCCTGTATTTCACACGGTACGCAGCATGCTCATGGGCTGGTCCTCAACCAAAGGCTAACGATGATCTGGTTACAGGAGGAGGCAAGCGGTGTCGAATGGAAGGGTGCAACAAGGTGGTGCAGTACGACGGACTTTGTGTAGGCCATGGTGGCTATCGTAAATGCTTATCGCTTAATTGTGACAAACGTGCATTGGCAAACAGCTATTGTCAAGCTCATGGGGGCAACTCGATTTGCCATATCACTGACTGCCAGAAGCGTGCCATTCGCGGTGGTGTCTGCTCCGAGCACAAGGCTCAATTGTCACCCAAACCGAGTGTGGTATTTGCGCGTTGTAGACCGTCAATCGATCTTCCGGAGACTCTATTCAAGGTTGAACCCACAGAAGTGGGTGGTCCTGGCCAAGACCAAAGCAACGGATACCACACACCAGTATACACGAATTCTACAACTCCCGCGACGTATACCCCCTCGAGTGACCTAGACATGGTGTCGTTTCAATACGTTCGACAAGGATCGTCGTCTTTACTGGACGGGAGGACGATGGTAACCCCTATTTCGAAGCGCTTCAATGCCGGCAAAAGCTACGATCCCTTCGAGCGAAAGAACGTTCCGGTGTTACCAAGCTTCCAAACGCTGCAAAGGAGCTGTAGCTCGTCTCCGTGGTCCGAGGGATCCAACATGGACTGATCTAAGCCTACGTCGATGCCGAACGAAGGCATCGAGGACTCGACGACGTGCGATGATCCGCCAAGTAAAATAGTCAAACTACGATACCCTAGTCTAGTTCTATATCTTGAAAGAGTTAGAAATCGCAAAACGTAGAAGATAACGGCGATTTAGAACACATCGAATAATTTGGAAAGAAAAATATGATGAGGTTGAGGTGGGGATCAGTTTGGTTTCTGGACGGCATTGTAACAAGGTATAAAATGTCCCGACCATCTCAGCGAAAGCTGTTTGAAACCTTCATCATTTGGGATTAGAACTTCTAGGAAGAATTAATCCCACACCTGATTTGGAATCTGAGCAGATTAGTCAAGCCTATTCCTTAGATTTGAACCTTACGGACAATACCATAGTTTTCAAATTCTGATCGATGATGCCTGGAAGCCTTGCTGGACGGAAGTAGATATCGTCGCTATGAAGCATGTGGCCTCGATCCGGATATGAGGTGCTTTGCATGCAAGGTTTCTTGAATTCTGATACACAGCAAACCCATGCGCTGTAGTCGCCAATGTATTCTTGAGTAGCGAGCCTCGGTTGTAATTAAAGCACGTTAAGCACACAATGGAGAACAAAAACTCGTTTATTATTATCCTCAAAAACTGGTACCAAAGACATTGTATCTGTTGCCTACACCTCTTTCTCATTCACATGGATGTGATACTCCTCAAGCTGTTGAGGAAGCACCGGTCCTGGCGCGTTAGTCATAAGCTCATTGCCCGTAGACGATTTCGGGAACGCGATCACATCTCGCAAGCTCGGCGCTCCACACAGGATCGCAACAAGACGGTCGAGGCCCAAGGCAATTCCTCCATGAGGTGGAGCTCCGTGACTAAGAGCTTGCAACAAGTGCTCGAAGCTCTGACGCTGCAGAGTCGGTAGCTCTAGCACGTCCTCAAAAACAGCTTGCTGCAACTTCGCCTGATGAATACGGATAGAACCTCCACCCAGTTCCCACCCGTTGCAAACAATATCATAGTGCTGAGCAGTGATCTCCAGGAGCTTCTCAGCGACTTCGGGGTCCTCCAACAAGCTCCTGTCGCCAGCTTTGGCTAAAATCTCATTCAAAACCGCAGCATGGTCCGGGCGAGGAGCAGTAAACGGGTGATGCGTTGCTGATAGCGCAACCTTATCGCCACTCTCAAGGACGTTACCGTCGTCATCCTCACTGCGTTCAAACATGGGGAAGTCTATGACCCACAAGTGGTGGAAGTTGTTCGGATCCAGTTCCTCTTGTAAGTATCCCTTGGCGTACAGCAACTGCGAGGTGTGTGTACGCAGACGTCCCAATAGAGTGTTGACGTCATGATACGAACCGGCAGAGAAGATAAGAACGTCTCCTTCCTCAGCGTCCAGACGCTCGTTCAGCTGTTCAATCTCAGAAGCGGACAGTTTCTTCGCAAGCGAAGATTTCCACTTGTTACCTGCTTCCACTTTAACCACAAAGGCGCCGATTTGGGACGCGCGTTTAGCCACTTTCTCCAGTTCGTCCATGTCTTTACGGGAAAACCCATCGCTTGCAAGAGATTTTGTATTAATAGCACGAACCACGCCGCGTTTACCGTGGATCTTCGGATTCTTGTTCATAAGCGCAGTCTTGAATGGCACAAACTCGCAGTCTTGCAGTAAATCGTCCACATCTTTCAGTTCAATGCCGTAACGAGTATCTGGTTTGTCGGCACCGAAGCGGTGCATGGCCTCATCGAAGGCCATGCGAACAAATGGACGACCAGGTAGTTCCTTACCCGCCGCCTTCCAGATCTCTTTAACCAGACGTTCCATCAGACTCATGACGTCTTCACGAGTGACAAACGACATTTCCAGATCGATCTGAGTAAATTCCGGTTGGCGATCGGCGCGGCCACCTTCGTCACGGTAGCATCTCGCAAGCTGGAAGTATCTATCCAGTCCACCGACCATTAGCAGTTGTTTGTACTGTTGTGGACTCTGCGTCAGCGCGTAGAACTGTCCTGCAGTTCTTGTTGGCACCAGGAACTCCCTGGCGCCTTCCGGCGTGCTTTTGAACAATGTCGGCGTCTCAATTTCTAAAAATCCCTCGGAACACAGGAAATTACGTGCTGCGAGGGAGATTTTCGAGCGGACTATGAGGTTTTGTTGCAATGCAGAGCGACGGAGATCGAGGTATCGATGACGCAGTCTCGTGTCCTCATTAGCCACTTCGGATCCCGTGGCCACTTGGATTGGCAGGTTCACGCACGGGTTTAACTCTGTGATCTCGTCCACGACCACTTCCACTGCACCTGTAGCCATCTTGTCGTTGCGCATATTGGCTGGCCGTGCACGAACGACTCCCGAGGCTTGCACTACAGACTCGGGGCGGATTTTGCTCACCACGTCGCTGGATGATTGTAGGAAGTCTTTCTCCAGCACGAGCTGCGTGACGCCGTAGCGGTCTCTCAATGACAGGAACGAGATGGGGCCGAATGGGCGGACGGCGTCCACCCAGCCGCTTAGCGTCACGCGCTGGCCCTCATGCGGCTCCTGACGCAGCTCCCCGCACGAGTGAGTGCGGAACGAGCTGAAGGAACGAGCTAGCAGCGAGCGCTTCGACGCATGCCGCAGCCTAAATCAACAATACATTGAGATGGTACGCAATTGGAGCAGAGAGTGATGAAGGTCAGTACCTTGTGGCGAGCATTTTGTCTGCTTGGTCGCGAGCTCAATTTTGCAAGTGTGCGGTCTGTCTTTGATGGATAAAGTCGATGTGGTACAGTGTACCATGGAACTGCAATCGTACACAAAATGAACACAATATAGCCATATTGTATCTGCTTTTGGTTGTCGGGACCAGCCATTTCTTGAGTGTGTCAATATGGTGGCGACGGGAGTGTTTGTGGCGGTGGCGGAGGGCGTTGTGGTGACGCTACGCAACACCACGGTGTTTGTGCTTCCTTCGACCAGCTCGGCCACGCAGAAATTGCTGCGATTCGAGGTCCTACAGGGCGCAGACGGCGTGGCGGAGACTGTTGAGGACGAAGACGAGACCAAGAAGAAACAAGCTACGCAGCCTGCACCGCCGGCCAACCGCATCACGACCGTGGAACTGTTCCAGCCTCATGGATCCGATCTTCTAGCACTGCTTCTGCTTGTGGATGAGCGACGTCTGGTCTACTACGAGCTGAACCTGACGGCCGAGACGCTTGTGCTCAAGGCCTCGCGTTCGGTTCCTCGTAGCGCCACGTGCATGACCGTAGGCCACTTAAAACTGCCCACTGGAGAGACCAAATACGCAATTGTGGTGGGTCAGAAGACGGGCGAGGCTGTGGCCGTGCCCTTCCCGGACGTGGACCGCGACCTCAAGACGTTGCTGGGCCACACCACATCCATGGTCACTCACGTGGCCGTAAACCACGACTCATCACTGCTGCTCACGGCCGACCGAGACGAGAAGCTGCGTGTATCCAGGTTTCCGAACGCTGCGGTCATTGAGAGCTACTGCTTGGGCCACGCTGCCAGTCTGACAAAAGTGGCTTGCAGTGCTGTGACCCCAGACCTTGTGGTGTCCACATCCATGGACAACACCTTAAAGCTGTGGCAGATGACGACGGGCAAGCTACTCGCATCAGAAACTCTACTTCCCGGTGTGGAGGTATCTCTGGAGCCTTTAGATGAGGAAGCCAGCAGCGCCAGTGACAGTGGCCGCCAGGCTGCCAAGAGTCTGATCAACGTGTCGCTGGCCATTTGCCCCAAGGCGAACGTTGTGGCCGTGCTTGTGAACTACCAGCATGTGCGATTCTTCGAGGTCGTGGCTGATGGTGAGGCCCACACGCTAAAGGAGCTGGAGATCTCTAACGAGGACGTGCAGACACTACTGGCGAATGAACCATGCGAGCTGCTGTTTACGGAGGACGAAAATCTGGCCGTGTCGTACAAGAAGAACCCATTCCTGCAGTTGTTTTCGCTTTCTAAGGAGAGCAAGAGGTTGTCACCTGTTGACACAGTGAGCGCTGCATTTAAAGACTTCCGGACCGCCGCTGAGACGATTGGTACGTTCATGTGTTTTGTATTGTTGATAAATTCTTGGTGTACTAATGATATTTTGATGTTCGTGTAAACTACAGAATTGGTCGATGACGAGGAGAAGGCTTTGGAGGTACTTGAGGACGGACTGAAGAAGAAAAAGGCTAGGACTGGCGAGTGGAACAAGAAGGTGCCTGGTGAGAATTAATCCGAATGGGGCTTTACTTTGGTGTGCTTTTATGTTTTGCTTTGTATTTTGCTGTTCCCGATGCACTTGGATATAGTAATTTCGTAAGACTTCCGAATTTTGGGGGTTGCATTTTCGTGATTGTTTTCGTACATGCATTGCAGCTAGCGTTGCTCCTCACTACACATCCAACTTACTCGCTCCTTCTCGCAAGTTCCTTGAGTAGCTCACCCGTTGAGAGGGTCTCCAGGTCGACGGCAGGCACATTGAGCCAGTCCACAGGGTTCTTGAGGACCTTGAGGGTCTTCTCCTCCCAAGATCCAGCGGCAGGCTGGTGCATGTACTCCCAACGAGCCGTCAGCGGCAACGACATGAGAATCGATTCCACACGTGAACCGGGAGTCAGTAGTCCGAATTTAGTGCCGCGGTCGTACATGATGTTGAACTCTACATAACGTCCACGACGCATCTGCTGCCACTCCTTCTGCTGCTTGGTGAACGGCATGTCCTTGCGTTTCTTTAAGATCGGCAAATAGGCGTCCAGCATGGAGTTGGCACAGCCGCGGATCATCTGGAAGTTCTCCTCGGACGTGTCCGTGAGGTCATCGAAGAAGAAACCGCCAATGCCGCGGCCTTCTTGGCGGTGGGGGATATAGAAATACTCATCACACGCCTTCTTCCACTTAGGGTAAATGGCGGGATCACGCTTGTCCAGCTGCGTCTTGTACACAGCGTGGAAGTGACGAGCGTCTTCTTCGAAGAGGTAACTGGGCGTCAAGTCGGCGCCACCGCCGAACCAGCCGATCTTCTTGGGCTTACCGTCCTTGTCGAGGTAACCGGTTTCTACTTCAAAATACCGGTAATTGAGGTGGATCGTAGGAGCCATGGGGTTGTGCGGGTGCATCACGAGGCTCACTCCACAGGCGTAAAATGGCAACTCGGCCCCTTCCTTCAGGTCTTTGCCTCTAGCAGTCATCTGCTTCACAGCAGCAGGCGGCAGTTTGCCGTGGATGATGGATACGCCCACACCAGCCTTCTCAAAGACGTTACCGTCCTGCAAGATGCGACTGCGACCACCTCCGCCGTGTCCCTCACGCTCCCATTTGTCCTCACGGAACTTCTGGCCGTCCACGGCCTCAATACCCGCGCAGATCTCGTCCTGCACGCGCATGATAAGCGCCTCCATGCGCTTGGGAAGTGGCGCCTTGGTGTCAAACTCGATGCTGCTCTTGGGGACCTTATCTTCGGACAGAGGTTGGTACAGGAACTCGGACGTGGGAATGGCGCCCTTGCAGCGGCTGGGCTCCTGCTGGGACAAGTACGAGGCGCCCAACGCCGCGGGGACCACGGCGGCGGCCAGCCATGGCCGCGAGGGCTTCAACAAGGTGCGAAAGTGACGCATGGACGCTTGGCAAATCTTGGACTGAACCTGCGGCTCCCAGCAAAAGTATCCGAAAGTAAAGACACGCACTTTTGGGTCATCACAAATGCGAACTTAACGAGCAAACGACAAAACCGGAATAAAATGATACGTGACAAACTAATGATTTTAACAGGTAATGAACCATTAAAATGGCTTTTTGAATAAAAAGTACTGTAAGGAAAAGTGCTACGAGCAGTCAAGGCAAGAACTTTTTTTTTAGGAAAAGTGCTTTAGCCAACCTACCTTAGAGGGAACCAAAGTAAGAAATACTCTGTAGTTATTGGAGCTACCTTAGAGAGAACTCCAATAACTACAGGGTATTTCTTACTTTGGTTTGCATTGGTCGATATGTACACACACGAACGAATATCTAACTTTTCAAGCGAGCTCGGCCAGCATAACTCGAGTCTGGTCAATATGCCAACGACTGCTGTCATGGCAAAGCTTAAGGCTCCGACTCCACCTTCAGCCAGTCTACGGGATGCTTGAGCACTTCGTAGGTCTTGCCCTCCCATGAATCCTCCTTTGGTGAGTGCATATACTCCCAACGGGCAGTCAGAGGCAGCGACATCATGATCGACTCAACACGCGAGCCCGGAGTCAGCAATCCGAACTTGGTACCGCGGTCGTACATGATGTTGAACTCAACATAGCGTCCACGGCGGATCTGTTGCCACTCTTTCTGTTCCTCAGTGAACGGCATGTCCTTGCGGAGCTTCAGGATGGGAATGTAAGCGTCCAACATTGAGTTGGCGCAATTTCGGATGCACTGGAACGTCTCCTCGGACGTGTCGGTGAGATCGTCGAAGAAGAAGCCACCAATGCCGCGGTGTTCCTTACGGTGAGCAATGTAGAAGTACTCGTCGCAAGCTTTCTTCATCTTCGGGTACCACGTGGGGTCTCGCTTATCTAGCTGCGTCTTGTAGACAGTGTGGAAGTGGCGAGCGTCCTCCTCGAACAGGAAGCTCGGGGTCAGGTCGGCACCTCCGCCAAACCAGCCAATCTTCTTTGGATTACCCTGCTCGTCCTTACCGACCTCGATCTCGAAGTACCGGTAGTTGAGGTGGATTGTGGGTGCCATGGGGTTGCGCGGGTGCATTACGAGGCTGATGCCACACACGTAGAACGGGAGATCCTTTCCGGGCGGAAGCTCGGCGTTGCGCTGCGTCATTTGCTGTGCAGCGGCAGCGGGTAACGTGCCATTGATGATGGACACGGCCACACCGGCCTTCTCCATGACGTTCCCGTCTTGTAAGATGCGACTGCGGCCGCCACCTCCGCCTTCGCGCTCCCATTTGTCTGTGCGAAACTTCTTGCCATCGACTGCCTCAATACCGGCACAGATCTCGTCTTGAACGCGGAGAATCACGTGCTCCATGCGCTTGGGTAGAGGCGCTGATGTGTCGAATTCGATGCTGTCCTTTGGCACCTGATCTTCTGACAGCGGGTGATAGAGGAACTCGGAAGAGGTGGTGACCATTGTGGAGCGTTGCGAGGGTTATTTGTCGTGCTGCTTTAGTTAGAGGAGGTGAATACGGGACTGAGGCGAGCATTGATGGCCGCGTATTGCCTCGTGCAGATAGATGACGCATGCCGGCGACAGGCTCTGCCAAGACAAGCGTTGGGGTGGCAGCAGAAACGCAGCGAAGCATTCGTGCAGAGCAGGGCAAGTTGACGTTCTAGGTCACAGATCCGAACTTAGCATGCGAACTTAGCTAAATGACGTGGTCCACTTTAACTTGAAAATTGGATTATTGTTGCTGGAGTGAGCCATTATAGAATTCTTCAGAAGTAGAGGGTTTCAGTGAATGCTGTACTTCACGAACTCACATATCAACTTCTTCACGATGAAGATATGATGCTGGCGTTTGTCTGCGCGACAGCAGATCCCATCGCCACACCACAAAAATATGCAGAGCTTCATTGGACAGCCTTGTCAAGAGAAGAGTGACATCCCGCGATTGAGTGACATATCAATTTAACAGAAACGATATCCGTTATGCTAATCCAGCATATGGTCGTTCTGGTCGTCAACACCTCTGGCTCTGCAGTCCGCGATGGCCGAGCTTCTGGTGAATGTGCCACAGATGCAGCGCGATCTGCAGCGTGCGCGTGAAGACAACGCGTATCTGCGCACACTGTTGAGGCAGATGAACATTGACGACGTCGGAGCGCCGCCGGAACAACAAAATCTTCACAAAAATCCCCGTTCCAAAGAACTAGACGACAACGAAGACTTCGACAACGCCTTAGCGCGACGGCAGGCGCGTCTGGACACTGCTGCTAGCACCAACGAGGCTTCATCCACTGTCTTGGAGCTTAAAAGCGCCAACGACCGCGTAGCCCAGCTGGAACGGCAGCTTCTGGACGCTGAGGAGACTATCTGCCACCTCAAGGCCGAGAAACTCGCCGCGTTAAGAGACGTCGAGCGCCTCATCGCCACAACGACCGACAGAGAACAACGATCACCCAATAAGAACGACAGTGAACAACAGCGCAAATTAGTACTGGAACTGGAGACGCGATTAGCTGAGCAGAAGCAGGCCCACACTCTCGAGCAGGATCAGCGCATGGCTGTAATCCGAGACCAGGAGCTCGAGCTTAAGACACTGCGTGACCAGCTAGAAGAGAAGACAAAGCAGTACAAGGAACTGCAACAAAGACACATGGACCTGCTGGAGATGGATGACCAGGCAGCGACGATGAAGCAGCGAGTTACTAGCGGTGTAAGTCAGTTCAGCATCTACGGAGAAGAGAGCGATGACGACGACGAATCCAAGGTAACCAAGCCACAGAAGGACGTCCCTGGACGAGCGAGAGCGCCAGCTGATGCGGATTCCGTGAATCCAAAGTGGCACGAAGAGCTGGTGCGTCATCCAACGCCCCACTTCGATCTCGAGTCGCCAGAAGTGGCCTACATTCTCCGAGCGTGGACGAATAACATTAAAAAGATGCGCTACTTGCGTCGCTGGCTCATCCAGGTGGTTAAAACCAAAGGCCCGCTGCCTGAGGACTTCCCTATGGGCGTGGAGCTGCCTCGACTGCCGCCTGAGGTGCGTGACGGCTTCCTAACACTCGTACTGCCGCTGCTCCGCCAACAAACCGAACGGGAAATCCTCGCACATTCCCGTCGATACAATGACGGCGTTCATACCGACCTGCGTTTCCGTCTTGTACCGCGTGAATAACTTAACCAAAGAGGTAAATAACCTTAACTGTTATGTCATTTACCGCAACTGTAGATTACAGTATTCTCGTGTGATCTCGTCGATAACGCTTGCTATCTGAGTCTGCAGTCGATCCACCTCTTCCTTCGTCGCCAAGTGTATCTGTTTAGTGTAGTTCTTTACGTGACTAGTGTTTGAATCCTCCCACGATCGCTGAGAGCGGAGAAATAGCTTCTGAGGATCAAAGAGCTCTCGTGTCTGCACCTCATGAGTAAAATTCTCCACTTTCGTCTCCATCTGCTGAAGCCGAGAACGAGATTTCTGCCGAGATGTCCACTTCTTCCATTCCTGTTTGTAGCCTTGCTCGATTTTGTGGATGGAATCTGCATGTGCTTGGAAGAGTGTTTGTACTTCTTGAACCTGAGTGCGCAGTGCGTGAGGAATGCTGTCTGTTGCAGTGATTGGGCTCAATTTGGAGTCTGGACTATCGCTGGTGTTGAGCGAGAGCACGAGACTATTGATCCACTTGTAGAACTGAGCTTCGTCTTCTATCATCTGCACACTAGCAGTTAAATAATGTCAGAATAAACTCGGGAGATATACCACGCAACGCAGCGCACCTTTGAGCTAGCACTTGGACTTGCTTGGATAATCTTGATGTTGGTCCAGCTAGAAGATCGAGAACATAGGCTGGAATAAGCTCCTGGTGTCCTCCAGATTTGTTTTGCAGATTTTTGAGACGAGCTAAGAGTCGATCATGGTAGCGGGTGTAGGCTTGTAACTCGTTCAGATGACCTTGTAAACGACCGAATGCACTATGCAACTGGTGCGTCTGTCCTTCCATGGATAAGTTCTCCTCACAAGGTGCTAGTGCAGTAGAAACCGCATGGAGCGCAGCCTTTTGAATGCGCGCAGTATCAATATCCACGTCCTTCACAAAGCACAATGACAGAAACTTAGAATTATCTACAGCCCACCGATTGTGCAGCATCTTACATTCGGGAATGGAGGTAAACGCGGTTGTGTTGTGTCTGTGCAGCGCTGTACCAGTACAATAAGTAAGTCAACAGTACATGCAACGACATAACTTTTGTTTACACACCTCAAGAATATAGCGGCCCTGCTTTTCAAAGAACCTGGAGAATGCCAGCAGCCACGCGACGGCAAGCAGAAGCACTTGACTTGATGATCGAGGTGGTACAGAATAAAATGTAGTGCACACGAAACCCCACTCGTAGAGATAGAACCGCACTAACTCCATCTGAATGCCTGCACAGTAGCCACAATCAGAAATTATTGCTTTAGAGTGCAGCAAAGATAAATTACCGTGCAGCTCAGTGTCAAGGAGTGAACTCTCTAACACCTCAGCGTCATTAAGACGCTCCACTTCTCGACTGTCTACTTCAAAATCTGCCAGCACCACAAGCACCAAGTCATGTAGCAGCCTCCATAGTGTCCAATACTCGCGCTGAAACAGCAAGCAACTATCAAAGATCCGGTAAAAAGCAGAATTCTAAGCATCCAGCACGCACCTCCGTCGTCTGGTTCTTCTTAGCCTTGCGCAGCAGATCGATGGACACGTAGCGCACACCGATGGACTCGAGTCCGAGGCGCAACAGGTAGCCGAAGCGAGGCGTGTGCGTAGCGGCTCGCATTTGTAATCGAACGAATTTGACGGGGAAAGCGTGGTGTACACAAATGAAAAGTGGAAGTTTCTGGGAACAAGCGTGGGAAAGTTACAAAATTGGACCGCAAGGGATCTGATTGGCTGGGATGGCATTCAGACGAAAAAGCCATTAAAATTTTAGTGGTTTTTTTTCGTCTGAATGCTATCCAAGCATATATTATTACGACCCAAAATTGGACTATTTTGAGTTGGTTCCGAATAACCCAAATAAACCATTGGCTGAGATGGTATTCAGACGAAACCATTCAAATTTGAATGGTTTTTTTTCGTCTGAAACATTTTCGTTCAGTAATAAAATAGTCGTTATCATTAAATACTGCAATAATTACAGGGTGGAATGGTCCAATGAGGACAAATCTCTTTTTACTGAAATGAAGTCAAAAATGCCCTGATCAATAATTGATCTCTTGAACTCAAGATTGCCTCATAGTGCTGCTCGCTAATACGGTAACGATGGCAATGGAGATATCGGTCCACGTGACACTACTATCAACACCCAAGAAGATGAGATGTCTGGGAAGGAGCATTTGTATGGAACTGTTGCGCAAGTCAGCCTGTGTACACTGTTCCCGCCTTCTAACATTCCATTCCTCACAGTGTCCACTGATTACAGCAGTGTTTTATCGATTGCGGCAACCTACTTTGAAGCAGAGCTTTGGTGACGACTTAACCCGATGTGGTCTCTAATCTTTTTTCGTGGACAATCACGACATCCGTGATTGTCCACGAAAAAAGATTAGAGGACAGGCGTGCCCTAAGAAAAAAGACCCCCTCCCTTATCTGATACTTGAAGTTGATCATTTTTGATCATTTTGTCTTGGTGTTTGTAAGAGCACCGGGAAACTCGGAAGATACCATTTTGACGCCCGCACGCCGCATTGCGACGCAGCTGCCTTTCGCTGCCCGCAGCACTCCACTCGAAGTAAAGGCCAGCACATTAATACGCTCATTATGCTGAAGTTCAGCACCGTGGGGGCCTCATTATGATGGTTTGCCCTCATCTTGGCTGTACATATCCTCAGAGAGCTGTCGAAGTTGCCAGCATGCTGCTCGTGGCGCACGCCATGGTGGGCGTGTTTCCCATCGGGACTGTTCCATTACTAGTATTGATAGCGCTAAGCCGGTCGGAACTACAGTAGCATTGCACTGGCGTTACTGCATGCGACCATCCAATCCAAGATATCTAGCGGAGACTTTCTTCGTTGGCGCAAATGTCCACTTCCGAATTTGCAGCTTTGGTGTCACAAGCGACTCTCCATTCACAGTCACCGTAATGACCACGTCCGTAAAGATTCCGACCACGTCGAACGCCAGCTCCACGCGGACAACTGGGCGTACCACCGTCGGAGCCTCCCACCGCGTCCGCCTCTGCTACCACGACGAAGCGTACCGTCAGCGCACCGAAGAGCGCACCAAGAACCTCATCGCAGATGCTTCATTGCCCACGACCTCCAGTACGAGCGCGTTGCTGGCCAAGAAGGCGCTCAAGTACCGCAAATTATACGACCGCATGACGGGTGTGGACGTGAACGACCCCAACTTCGACGTATTCGAGTTTCTGGGCATCGACTGGTGTAAAGCCTCGCCCGTGGGGACCTCTGGCCACGCATAAAGACCGTAGAAAAGATAGGTATTTATTGGTATTGTCCAGCTTTGTGCGCCCAGGCAGATGCTACAAAGGGGACGAATGCATAGTCACGACGAGTTTTAGATAACTTGGTAATGTATCATCAAAGCTCTTCTAAGTAATTCGATTTGGGAGTTGTACATGTAGTAAAAGTTGGATCCGAAGCCGTTGGCAGATTATAAGTTGAAGGTGATGAATGCGTAGCGGCAACAATACCTGCCTTTTTACGTTGTATGAGATACAAATTCTTGGTGTCAGTTCGAGGCCAGAGGAGTATTGTCGCCTCCATCAAGTTGCCTGAGAGCGTGTAATAAAACTTAAATACTGCAATGGAAATATCGTATTACCACTGGTTTTGGTGTCACTTGATCCTGTTCCGTATTCACCATCGTCGAACAGCATTGCCGATTTCCTCGAGTTGGTATTACGTACAGACTCTATGGCACAGCTCAGGACATGTCGTAGCCCGTTTTCCAAATACAGAAGGACTTGGACCGAAATAGTTGGTTGAGCGGTAACAGCATTCGAATCCTGTGGGTCAATAATGGCAACGCAGCAAGACTTGAAGCCGACTGTATCCGACGAAGATCTGCAGAAATGCTACGAAGCTTTCACTCGACGTAGACTAATCCGCGGAGAGCGAAGTATCCGAACCTCTGAAGGATTCCAGAGACTACACAAGAGATACCAACGCACGAGCAGCGTAGTAGCAGAAACTGGCCCAGCAATTTTTACGGACGGTGTAGACGGCGATTCTGGGTGTCTACGCAACGTTTTGAACGTATTTTTCAATCCGAAGGTTTTGCGAGTGATTACCGAAACTTGCTGGCGTTTGGCACATTTCGGTGGTGGTACTTTAAATGCTGAGAGGGTTGGTCAGTCTCGTGTTGTTGAGACTTAATAAGTAGCTAACAAACTGTCCCTTTGTGGCTAGGATTGCGCAGGCCTTGAACTTGATGCGGAGAAATACTCGACTTTCTCTTTGCGACTGATCCAGTGGGTTATTCCAGAGTTACCACGTCGACAGGTTCAAGATCTTGTACAATATGATTGGGAACTTGACCGCAAATTTGATGAGCTTGGGCGTGATGGTTTGAGTTTACGAGGCTTTGAGCTTTCACTCCTTGATCTCCTGGTTTCGTGCACGGTACGAAATTGCTGCTGCAACGTTGATTCCTACTTATATTGTGTACATTGCTGTTGGTAGGATGGTACTGTGGCCAAGTGCCTCGAGTTTCTGAATCTGATGGCGCGATGGCTACAACATTCACTACCCCCATATATTATACACGACACTGCGGGACAAGTTGATCAAGACGATGTGGCTAATAATTACTCCAATCAACTTCCCAAAGCTGTTCCAATGAAGATTGTGTGGAACATAGTTCCCTTTTCCATGATGGCTCCATGTCAAATCGGCCCTCAAGGTTTGTACTGCGAGTTGAAAGTAAGTACAAAAACCTAGGAAGAATGTATGATGTTTTGTATTACCCACTTTCTTGTGGTTTTGGATTTTTAGACCAAAGTTTGTTCATCACCTATAGTCGTCATGCTCCTGGCTGCCGATGAAAAGTAGGTAATAGATCACTGTGATGCTCGCTGTATTGGCAACAGTTGACCATTTCACTAACTTTTATCCTTTTCCTTCTACAGGCCTCTCGAGATGGTGCTCGCTACGAACCCCAAGCTCCTTCTCAAAAGAACTGAAAGTCATAAGGTTATCAACAACAAGATTGCTGGTTGTTGGACATTTCATATGAACTCAAAGACGTCAATACTCTTGGTTCCAGGATCTACAGTCAATCACCTGTCCAAAGCGCTCTACGCTTGCTTTCGTACATGCGATTCTGCCAAACCCATCTTGGAATCTCGAATGGTGGGAGGTGAATGTGACAGCAACAATCAACAAATTGTTGTCAACGAAGAGCAGTCTGAAGCTCAAAACGCAGCTTTGACCTCAGCTTCCACTGGTTTAACTCTATGTACGAGTGTTCCAGAGCAAAGTTCTCTTCGCATTGGGAGCAAGAATGTCTTCTACCGAATGGAAAGTATGAGCCCGCGCATTTTCACATTGGAGCACAGTACGCAGCTTGGCGAGGAGATTACGATAGTATTGACAGCGTCGCTTCTTCAGAGTAACAATTCTGTGCCGACAACTTCAGGAATTGAGACAAACTCAACATTTAGGGTCAGCGATAGCTACCCCCAAGATGGTGAAGTCACCCAGGACGATGCGCATACGTTGATCTTCATTATCAAAAGCACCTTACAACGAAAAAATGGATCAAAGCAGGACCAAGCCATACTACCACGACAGTGGTTCACGTGTTTGAATACTGCCAAAGAAACTAAAACTATTCTCTTTGAATCTCCAGAAATGAAAAATGGAGAAAAAGTGACGGAAACTCAGTGCAGAGAGATTTATCAGCTCTTTATCTTTACGCTTCACGGGGTAAACATTGAAGTCGCTTGCAACGCAAAGATACCAGCACAAACACGAGAGGAATCCGATCCAGACACACCCGAATCTGAGGCAGATAATCCAAATAAGTTCTCGGAGGTGACCAGTTCTAGGCTGTTGAAGGATCTTTTACAGCTCCAGAAGATACGGCAGCTCGATAAAACGTCAGAACCTCTGCCAGATATGGTAGTTGGTACGCCAGTGAGTACCACCAAGCCCGTCTCAACCACAGAATCTCTTCGCAGCAAGGTACGACAAAATATCCATCGACTTGTACCTCTGATAGATGATATATTCTTTTCACTGCACTAGATTCTTCGTTCGCGCCAAGAAGCGAGATATTCTCGCTATCTGGAACTACAAGCTGAAATTCAGAGCAAAATTCTTGAAAGGAAGACAAGCAGGAAAACTACTACTCAAGAATCTGACCACTCTGATGAGAGCGTACAAATTCCACTATCACCAGACTCAGAGCTCGAAAAGCGCGTGAATCAGCTTGCAGCTTTCTTCCACGAGATGGCAGTGCACCAGCCCAGAGATGACGAGTTAATTGGTGGTGCTACTGAAGCGGCTGAAGCAGTGGCAGAAGAGCAATTGCTCAAGAGATTTAGCGAGATGTTCGACTACGACTCAGATTTACAGAACGCTTTAGACGAGGAGAAGTGGAGCACTGACTCTGTCAAAATCGCTCGTCGTCGAGATTCTATCTACACAAACCTGCCAAAGACGATGCCGACAACTCGAGCTGATATCCCTGATAAATGCTCAAGGACCTATGAAGACTATGAGAACACTGCACAGTACATTGAACAGCTCATGGAGGACGTAACGAACCACACGGCGCAGCAGCAAGAGCAACAAAACCTCGAAGAGGAAGAGCGAAAGCGAGCAGTTGTGACGCAGCTAGTAGATTCGTGGCAATACACACAGCATCGAGTGTATAAGGCAGAGACACGGAAACGAATCGACGAGATGGAGAAGAAGCGACGTAGTCAATGGCTGCAGTCCGAGTACATTCAAGCAAAACGTGGTGATAAACCGGAACGTCCAGTGCTGATCTTACCAAAGCAACGATTCCTCGTTCAAGAGCATTCAATCCCTTCAAATGCGATTTGGGAGGTACCAGGAGCTTCAAATAACCCGGCTAAAGTTATATTGCCATCAGGACCAGCAGTAGATCTCGTTAGTCCCATGAGACCCACGTCACCGCATACCGAAAAGGTTTTCAAGCCCCAACGCCCTCTAGTTCGACCTGCAACAGTAGCAACTTCAGAACGTTCCAGTAACATCACAGCCTTGCGCTCTGCAGCAATTTCTCGTGCTCGAGTACGACGCATAAGAAGTGCCCACTCAACCGCTCGAGGTGAGTCAACTCCGAGTAGAATCCAAGTGATCTCTCCTAGAAATCTCGATCAACCGATGTCACCACAGCAAGAGATCCCGGACTATTCATTGTCGACTTTGAACGACGAAGAAAGTCCGAATAGTTTAGCACCGACAAAATCTCTTACTAGTCCACGGTTTGTCGATGATCCAGTGCATCTCGAAGCCCCGTCATTGACTTCCCCGACTGAACAGGGTTGTTTTGTGGATGCCGATACGAAAGTCACGTTAACGGAGAAGAGCCCTGTGAAATTTGAAAGGAGACGGAAAAGGAAGAAGCGTTCTAAAATTCCAACGGATATCCACTTTCGACGTCGAGTTCTGGAGTTGGTATCAATTTCAGCGCAACTGCAAGCTCTCGACGGCGAGGAATGGAAAGAGGCTCAAGGTATTGCAAACGTCGATGAATTGAGCAACATGCCATGTCTTCCACCTAAATGAACACACAACTATTCTTTCATTGCTGTGGTAAAGCATAGAATCCAAGTGCATCGAAGCTGTTGGAGATAAGTTAACGTGCTTCTCGCTCGTGTTTGTAAATCAAAAACTGATCAAACTCAATCGACAATGGATTCGTTTTCACAGGTAATAATCCATCTCCTTACAAACTCCATATATCAAGAGTCAGCAAATGCATTCGGAGCAGTAAATATTCGTTTTCAGTAGATTTCCCACCCGCAGTAAAGCTCACGCAGCATCAAAATGGTTCCTGCTACAGCGACACCGCTGTCTCTGACGCGGCATTCCTCTCTCATTCCCCCCTCTCCATGGTGGCTGTAACGTCTCCAATATCGCCGGTAACGCTGCGTTGGCGAGCGGTAGGAAAAGATGCTCCTGATCCTTTGGCATTCGGTACTGCAGACGACGAAGAAGAAATTCGCAAGAAACTGGACCTTAACGACAGCTCCAAGTTGCTACCTGAAGCCCCACAACTCACTCTTGAATGGCACAATCTGACGCTTCGAATCATTGCGAATGACACTGAAAAGGTTATTATACATGATGCCAACGGTGTCGCCCACCCCGGTGAACTCTTGGCCATCATGGGCCCTTCAGGGGCAGGCAAGAGCTCGCTGCTCGACTGTTTATCCGGACGAAATACCAGCGTTGAGGGCAGTATTTTGGTTAACGGAGTGCAAGCAGGGACCCAAAAATTGAGGAAATTGGTGGCGTATGCCATGCAGGACGAGATGTTCCACTCGACGCTGACGGTGAAGGAACATTTAGTGTTCCAGGCGAGATTGAGACTCGGTGGACACTTCAGTAAGAAGCAGTGCCAACATCGAGCCAATGCTGTGCTCCACGAGCTGGGATTAACTGGATGTAAGGACACTTTGATCGGTGGATGGATGCTACGTGGGATCTCAGGAGGCGAGAAGAAAAGACTGGTTTTTGCCTCTGAGATCCTGACCAACCCGGCGGTCTTGTTCGTAGACGAACCCACCTCTGGACTGGATAGTTGTATGGCACGTGCGGTGGTGCAGCAATTGAAGCAGCTTGCAACGAAGCGGACGGTTGTGACCGCGATCCATCAACCTTCGTCAGAGGTGTATGCGCTCTTCGATCGCCTTTATCTACTTGCAGAGGGCGCGACAGTGTTTGAAGGATCTGCACGTAAAGCGATCATACATTTCGTTACACTTGGACTCCCGTGTCCGCAATTTATGAATCCAGCGGACCATTTCATGGAACAACTAGTGGTACTTGAAAGAACTACCGATAACGAAGGATTGGCTCGTGTTCAACGACTGAAAGATTCGTGGAAACAGCAGAAAACTACCTGGACACCCAAAATATCCGGAGATTTTGTGGACATTGTGGTTTACGACGTGGAACGAGAAGAAGATGTTGGATATTACTACGGGAAGAGCTTGTCTCTGTGGGGCCAAGTGGAAGTACTAGCTCACCGTAATGCGCTACGACTGGCACGTGACCCCATGGCCCTCCGTCTACAAGTACTACAAACACTCATTTTTTCGTTTCTACTTGGCCTCATTTACTTCCAGCTAGATGTGGATCAGAGAGGTATTCGTAACTTTTCGGGAGCTTTTTTCTACATCGTGACAGACCAAGTGTACTCTGCTTCGATGCCTGCTATCATTTCGGTACCTGTGGAGCTCCCGATTGTGTATCGAGAGCTAGACGTGGGGCTGTACCGTATCGGTGCCTGGTTTCTCGCTAAAAATCTGTGTGAGCTGCCTTCCCAGATCGCGTTACCGATTCTAAATCTGATTCCGATCTATTTCTTGATTTTTGGAATCTTCGGTAATCCTGGGTTCCTGGTGTTTATGCAGATGCTTATCCTGCTTGTAGCGATGAACAGTGCGTGTGTGGCGTTCGGTTATGCTGTATCCTGTATCTGCCGTCGAGTGGATATCGCTCCTATTGTGGGGAATATCATCATCATGCCGTTACTGCTACTCGGTGGCATGTTTGTGGATCCCGAGCGAGTGCCTGTCATGTTCCGGTGGCTCGAACTCGTGACCCCCTTCAAGTACGGATACTTCGGCTTCATGCGTGTGTTCTGGCGTAACGCAGCAAACGTACCGTGCGATTTAGAAAACACAGCGGAATGTACTCCTATATCAGGGCACGATGTATTGGAAAGCTACAATATTCCAGATCAGTCTATCTGGAACGACGTATGGAGTCTCGTAGCGCTCAGTCTGTTCTTCCGTCTTCTCGGTTTCGTAGCTCTGCACTTCAGTGTCCGTCACAAGTAGAAATAGCCGCAATAATTGTTAAAAACTTAAAAGTGAATTTTATACTCCGCTGCCCTGTATCATTCATACAAGGGAGAAGAGCTTACACCTTTAGAGCTTCAGTAGCCTACGAAAGGGAGGGCACACCAGCTTCCACTTCCACGACGGCCTCGATCTCCACTGCCACGTTGAGCGGTAGGGCGTTGGTGCCCACAGCCGAACGCGCGTGCTTGCCCTTGTCTCCGAAGATGGCGGCCACGGCGTCCGACGCGCCGTTGATCACACCTGGCTGCGCAGTGAACGTGTCGACGCAGTTGACGAAGCCCGTGAGCTTGACGACGCGCTTAATGTGGTCCAGCTCACCCAGTTCCTCTAACAAGATCAGAAATTAGTCTCAGTTTCTGATAAATTTGAAGAACAGGTCGTACTTTTAAGCGTGGCTAGCAGAGCTAGAGCAACGCGTTGCGCCGCAGCGTACCCCTCCTCGGTAGTCAAGTCCTTGCCCAGTTTGCCAGTAATGAGCTCCCCCGCAGCCGTCACGGGCAGGTGACCAGCTTTCGAATAGAACGAGCATTTAGAACGGAGACGTTCGTGGTGAATTGCTGGTAAAATATCGATGTACCGGTGTAGATGTAGTCCCCCGTGCGCACGACGTTAACGTAGTTACCCTTGGGGGCGCCCGCGGCGGGCAGTTCGTAGCCCAACTCGGCCAAACGGTCCTCGATCTTGCCCATGTTGTTAAGTATTGGCAGCGTCAAAATCAGTTATTGTGGCCTGACAGGGTACGTGGCACGCTGTATGCGCAAACCGTCGATTAAATTTGGCAGTCCAGAGCATCGAGTTACATGGTCACCGCTCTCGCGGTCAATCGACGTTTGACTCTCCCTCACTACGCGAAGAAACTGTAGATCATGCCGTCGTTGGCGAATGGCCAAGATACTGGCGACATGAATATTCCATGCAGTGCGGCGTGATCAAAGTGGCAAAGGCAGATAAAGATGCTGTAAGATAAAATCTAAGGCTACAGCTCTTGAACTGTGGCAGTGATGTTTGATGGAGCAAGTAACTTGTTCTCATACAAGGTGTATACCTAGTTCAGCCAATTTGTCGGCCTGGTGCTCGAAACTATTGAATCTACACAAGGAATACATATTGGTAACGTTTGCATGCTTCCGACTACAGGTATGACTTTCTTCGGCTAAATTGTCGGGTCTGGAAATGTGATCGTGCGTCGTGATAGAACGATTGTGCGAACCGCTCATGGCGTGTGATCCCCTATTGCATATCGTAACACACTCGATTCGCGAGCAAATGGCTGTTGAAGCTGTCTTACACATGTGCGCGATTTGACACAAACACGGCGATCCAGGAGATTGCAACCACACACATACAGAACGGTTTAGCAACGTAGAAACTGGATCAAACTTGTTGTCCCAAGGCAGATCCTACCTTGCAGGATCAAAATTTGAAGAAGGCAGTACAGTGATTCTATCACGGTATACCCTGTACAGACTGTAAAAGTCTGTAGAATCCGTTCGCATCAGAGGATTCAGTCACGGAATCAGGATGTGAAAGACGGCATTGAAGGCAGAAGCTGGCACAAGTTCAAAAAACAAAAATTACGAAATCCTTCTTGTGGTGTTTCCAAAGACTGCTCAATCAACTACAGCACATGTATTAATACTAACCAAGTCAAGGCCCTTTGACGAAAACAAGCAAGTTCGAAAGGTACGGAAGCCTCTCTTTACTACCCGTTAACTACGAAGTACAAGAGGGAGGAGGAATTTCCTTTTCGAATCGGACTGTGCACTAAACGTAGTACGGCTGACTGCAGTGATATCTTCCCTGACTTCCCAGCAAAAATCGTAGTGAGTGTCACTGTGAGTTCGAGCACTTCAACATACAACTTGACAACAAAATGTATCTATGGTACTTCTTCATGTCAAAAATGCATTGGAGCCTGTCGAAAACGCTGCTGTGACGCTTGCTTGACTGCTTCGTCACTCATAAGATCAACGTCACCACCTCTTCGCGCTACGATGGGGGTTATGACGAAGAGCTCTCCATGTTTGTTGAAGGAAAGATACATGTATCGGTAGCGTGGATAGGTACGCAGTTTTGGAGACCTTGGACGCCCGGCTCGTGTTTACATAGTTTTGAGCAGTCCGATGTCAACGGACTGATATTCTTTTCGAACTCGGACGAACAGCGTGGAATTCCTTATTGGCGTTCTTCTTTTCTCAATGCAACGGTTGACTCAGACACTTGGTGGTCGAGCACGATCTTCACAAGCATGTTGGATTTCGAGAAAATCGAATGGTGCAATGCGTTCACCATGCAAGACTTGCATGGCAGCTTGTAGCAAGTTGCAGTGTTCATTCTCGAAAATACCGTATCAAAGTTCGAAGCGACAATTGCACTGTGCACATGTGTACGAGCTCTCTGGAAGCACCTGTTGAAGCCCCATCTTGATTGAGTGCAGGCTGTCAGGTTCTGTTGCTAACGTGCGGAATCGGAGCATGCCAAATCAAGCAGAAAGCTCATGCCTAACCTCCTGTCTGGCAATTCATTTTTATGCCACAAAATTAGACAGGGCACTGGAGATTACAACATAAGGCAGATCATTTAATCCCAAGTCAAATTTACAATCGAAAATAAAACAATTGTAAAACAACTTACGCAGCCAAATTAATTATCTCAGGTTCTTAAAAATTGATTAAAATAACGCAACTTCTTACAAAGTCGTTGACAAGCATTCAACCACAAACTGTAAACCTTCTGACTCGACTATTGTTGCGATAGCCGTTCATACAGATGGCTGTTTCCGGGCACGCCTTACCACTGCCAGTGCATCTCCATACGTAAGTTCCGCCATCACGGATCTCCCTGTGAGGCATTGCTCCCGATCCCGACTTGGCTCCTCGTATGCTTGCGCCGCTCCACACCGCAATGCAACGTTTTTTCAACTTCCTCATTCCTCCATTTACTCTCAACGCAACAACTCGCCTTCTCCGATCCTTTTGCGTTCCGACAAGATGAAGTTCATTGCCATCGTCGCCGCTGCTGTCGCTGCCTGCGCCCTGACCGTCTCCGCTGATGTTGCCACTGGTCCCGTGTGGGGCTACCGTGCGAACGACGCCAGCATGGTCAACACCGACAAATGGGCCGATAGCTGGGCGACCTGCGGTGGCAAGCGTCAGTCCCCCATCGACATCAAAACATCTACCAAGTCTGGCAAGGGCAAGAAGCTCCCGCTCAGCTTTACCGGACGATGCCCTCAGTACAACCTGACGGCACCTGCTGAGCCGCTTGAGGTCGACGTTGTTGGAGGTAATTTCATTGTGATTGGTCTCGTCATTTGAGATGTACTCGGTTTTAATGCGTTTGATATGTTTGAACAGGCAGCTGCGCTGTCGCAGTGAACGATGCCTCGTACAACATGGCTCAGTTCCACTTGCACGCTCCCTCGGAGCACACGCTGAACGGCAAGGCTTTGGACGGCGAGATCCACTTCGTCCACAAGTCTGCGGATGGCAAGGCTCTCCTGGTCATCGGTTTGTTCCTGCAGGTCGGCCCCAAGTCGGACCCGTGGCTGGGCCCCGTGCTTGACGCTCTTGAGCATGTCAACTCGACTGATGAGCGCTCCGCGGCGGTCGTGGTGCAGCTGTAAGTTCCTTCGTCATTATATATTTTTTGATTAACAGAATTACTTACGATATGCTTCGTTGTTGACACAGGAAATCGTACTCGAATCTGATCCGTCAAGCCAGCAAGCACTGCGGTGTCTACAACTACCCGGGCAGCCTTACCACCCCTGGTTGCGATGAGACTGCCGACTGGTGGGTGGTGCAGGACCCGATCAAGATCTCGTCTATCGACTTTGGTCGTCTTCACCAGGACCTGGTTGAGTACCACATCACGGATAACGGCAACAACGCGCGCCCGGTGCAGCCTCTGAACGGCCGTAAAGTCACGCGTTACAACTAAGAGCCTGCGAGATACCATCTCACTACAGTAGACATTTTTGCTGACACTTCACTACATCGTAGAATACAATCCGTGTGTTTTGTTTAATCTCGACTGCAGAGAAACTAAGTCAAATGCACTATTGCGTACGGGGGATTCCCTCTACTTATATTTCGGTCGTGTCACCTCCATTTTACAGTGTCATTAACGCTTCGAAGCAACAAAACCACGAGGACGTGTCCTTTTCACGATAAAAAAAGCACACAGGCACAGTACACATTCAACAACACAGTAAAATGTGTGAACCACACGTCTAAAGAGAATCCACCACAACATACATCGCACCACAACCACTAATTCACCAATTTCACGACAATGCATTTTTATTCAATCAGATCCAACATAAATACCTATTTTTAGCCAATAACACCCTCAGCTACTCTGCTAACTGCTCTACAATTTTCTGCACAACCTGTGGAGATAGCTACAGTTGAAGTCGAGCTCTGCAAGCTCAGCCAGCTCCCAGCTTTGTAGTTTGAAGTTCAAGATGTCGTGTCGCGTAGCAGTAAGACAAAGACTTCAAAGGAACTAGGAAACGTTGGACTAACTGCAGAGGGGGGTTGTCACCTTCGAGGTTTCCCTACTTAACCCCAAATACTCTACGTGGGAAACACTCTGTTCATCTGGTTAACTTTACAATCACTAGCTCCTATCCTGTGCAAAATCTAACACAACCACCACTTTATCCCCGCCACCCAATTCCTTTGCAATGTCCGCTCGCCTGGAACACCCTCATCCCAAGTATGCCCATTCGGACGCCGATATACGCGTATAGCGTTCTCCATTGCCTGGAGTGACGTCGGCCAGTGCAATGTCTGCGCTGACGCAGTTCCACACGCAATGCGGGCGCAGCTGTAACGCTGCAGATGGACGCCTGCTCAGCAGCAGCAGCAACAACGCCGTTCCCGTGTCGGGGGCGTGTCCGAGCCTGCCAGGAGCTCGATGTGGTGACCATCGACGAGCTGTACCCGCATGTCACCCATGTGCGGCCCCTCGCCAGGCCTTACGCCGTTGACGAAGGAGCTCCCCCGAGACTGGGTTGCTCAAGGGCTACGCCCTGCCCGAATTTGGAGAGCGCTTATTCAGCGCTTTGGGCTCGATGAGGAGATCGCACCACCGCTTTTTGCCGTCCAGCACTTCATATATCACCATGTTGGGTGGCAGTGACCGGATGGGCGCTCTTCGCCTGAAACTACGCGAGACAGGCTTCACGAACGGCGAAGAAGACAATGCAACGTTTACGTTCATAAGGAGGGAGATAGGGTTGGCAGACCAATGGTTGGAATTGGGAGTGATGCTCACCCTTTTGTGGTAGGAGTTACCACGAAGAAACTGTTACTTCAAGCTGACCGTGATCCCGAATCCTTTATTCTGCACGTGAATGCCACATACAATCTCACGCAGACTGGCTACCCAGTTATTCTAATTGGGATCTTGGATCGTGCGAGAAAGTTTCACCTACTTGTAATTTTATAGCATCTCAGCAGCAACAACCTCAGTATGCAGAGATCCTGTCGATGCTGTGAAAGGTATTTTTGGAAGTGACGGGTAAGCCACTCAGCGTTCATTTTGCAATGGGAGATGCCGATAGTGCGCAATGGCATGCGCTTGACGAAGCTTCGGAAGAGACGGCAGCCCGAAAAAGTTTCTGATGTGCTATTTCTATGTGGCGAGAAAAATCTACGAGAAGACTCGATCCTTTGACACCAACGTTGCTGCGATGATCATGCGTGATCTACACGAGCTGCACTTCTCCAGGAGCTACTCGGAATTTCAAGAGCGTAAGGCAGAGGTTCTTGGCAAATGGGAAGGCTACACTCAGCTGCGCATATTCGTCAGCTACTTCAGATCAGTGTGTCTGAACGCTCGTGTGTGGCGCTGGCAGTGCTACCACACTGTGAGTGGTTTTGCAACGACTGATAACCCGTGTGAGGCATATAACGCCACGATTAAGCGTGACGTCACGCTCAGGCGAAAGCTGAAAATTGGCGCATTGATTGGGCAACTCCTGATCCTGTGTCGAGGTGAAAGTGTACGTGGTCGTGCTTTCGCTCTAGCGCCTGGAGTTGACGACCGGATGGTAAGACGCGCTAGAGACCTTGATCGAGCTGGCCTGCTGCGGGAATTCACGCCCAAACGCACCTCTATTGTGTTCCTGCTTGGATCCGATTCGAATGCAGCAATCACATCGTTAGTGTCGTCGCATCACCAGCAGCACACGTGTTCAACCTACATGAGCGCCGCTCTCGAGGAGACCTGCCGATCTCCGCCCATTTTGGCGCCGAGACAGATCGAATGGACAGCAACCGGGCGGGATGTGAACATCAACTCGCGTTGCTGTCCTTGTCGGCTGTGGTTCAAAATGGCATGCTGAGTGCATCTCCTGTATGCTCTTGGCACTGTTGGAGACGTCAACGCTGCGGGCCGCGACACGCTAGTCTATCACGGGAGCAGCAAGCGCAAACGCTGGGAAGTGCCTGGGCAAGCCACAGGAAGGCCAAAAGTAAAGAGGCCTGCATTGTCAGTAGAATAGGTCAACCGTTAGTTAAAATCACACAAATGACAGCAGCACCCACTGACCTTCGTACGAGCCCAACCGATAGCAGCGCACATGAGTCCATCCTGCTGCTCGACCAGCAGCGAACACAAGCGTATCCAACAGCGCACATGATAGCGCGCATGTGCACAACCAGAAGCAGCGCGCACGAGAACGACCTGCAGCAGCGCGCACGAATTCATCCAGCAGCGGGCACGACCACCAGCGAACACGAGAACGATCAGCAGCGGGCACGACCACCAGCGAACACGAGAACGATCAGCAGCGCGCATCAGCACGATCAGCTGCAGCGCGCAGTCTTCCCTCACGACCCACCGCTCGCCTGCACGCCCTGCACGCCCTAGGGCTCCACCAACGTACGTCGTCGCCTTGGGGGGG